CCGTAGTACTTGATTCCTGAACATCTGAAAACAAATAATGAACTCCCACATGGCATGGGATCTTCAAGTCAAGATCCTAAGCCTAGGCCTACAAGCTAGGCCTACACTAACTATCTGAAAAGGTAACAACGTGCTCGTTACGCGTTTAGTAGGCTAGGCCTAGGCCTTATTTTATAGGCTTCTTCCTAGCCAAGGCTGAATGTCGCCTTTGGGGAATTTGCATTACCTGTCGAGAGCAAAGGTAAGTTTCCCATATATATGCCAACCATATGAATGCAAAAATTGCATTAAATAGTGATTCTGGTGAAACATCCATTTAAAACTGTAATACTTTCTTCTTTGCAATCTCACACTACGCCAGCGCTCGCAACACAACTTACGCCACATGAGTTTCATCAAATAATGCCGTATTCGACTGATATTGATCGGTCTGTTTGAATCTTTATCTATACTGTGTGTTAGTTAATTTTCTCGGCCTCTTTTAGCTTTTAGTTAAACATACAGTATTAGGCTATTTATAAGTTGTTTCTTTTTATGCCAATTTTTAGCTTACTTCATTGTCCTGTATATACTACAGGATTAAAATTTTTATTTTGATTGTCCGAAATATATCAATTTTATTTCCTTTCCATAATTCCATAAATAATTTATCTTAATATTGCAATTTTTTTTATAGATGGTACCACTTTTGACATTTGTCTTTCATTTTTAATTTTAAATTCACTTTATTTGTTGCTTTTGTTTGATATACAGGTTTGTGAATTTTATTTGCCTGTATGAATTTTTATCAATTACGTTAATTAATTTTCTCGGTTTTGTTAAACATTTTATTTCTTAATTGTGTTTCTTTATATGCCTACTTTTAAATTTACTTCATTGTCTGTAAAAATTGTTAATTTGGATGCACCACTATTATTGTTGTGTGTGCCGCCGATTTCACCGGGTGTTATTCCTAATAGATTGATTGATTGACCAGTCGAATAAAAAACTTGTAAATACTCGCCAAAACAAAATGGCTGCATAGTTACCGCGATACACACTGCGTAGTCAAGATTGCTTCAGCTTGTGGCAGTATGGGTTTTCGTATAAAAAAAAAGAAAAAATTTCATTCAGTTTTTTAATTCTGTTAGCCTACAATTATTTTTTGACTTCATGTGGGTAAATATTATACAGTAATTTATATTTTCTGAAATTTAATCTAAATTATATTAACGCAAATGATGTTTCTAAACTCACCAATCATGTGTATAACTTAACGCTGATTAACGCACTCTGGTTTGCGTTAATGGACCTTTCCGCTAAGCTCCACCCCTTGGATATTGTTGCTAAGGTCCCACAAGACGGCAGTGTTAAAACATACGCGAACACGTGCGTTTTTGGACAACACGTGTGTTTGTAAGAGGTGCGCGTATTCCTAGCGCTGTTCTGATTAGTCAGTTGTTAAGTTTGATTGACACTCCGGAAAAGTCTATTCTCGGTTAATTGTTGTCAACGAAGTCGATTTTACGAACCAGTCGAATGAAAATAATACTCAACGAAAAATCGTAGTCAACGAAATGACCAGTCAAATACGCCCATAGATAGAGGTCTTTGGTTTCATCATGTGGAATCAATGCGTTAGCGTAAATCAAAATGCGTTGGAAAAAATTAAATGCGTTCGAAAGGAAGCAAGTGCGATGCAACAACTCGTGTTTTAAAATCATAATTTTAACGTAATTACCGGTATTATTGCTTTTGATATATTATAATGTAAAATTAATTGTTTATGTTTTTAAATATAAGTTGCACACAAAAATAAAAGCAATTCAATACTGAAAAGCAGTAATGCAATGCATGTTTTGTTGGCTGTGTCAATGTCATACTGAGCTGAAATACATTGCGATTGACAAATATATTAATGAAACTATATGTGCATTGTGCATTTGAGAAATAAAACAATTGGGAAAAAAGTGTTTTAATATATTAATTTTAATGCCTCATGCAATTGATGTTTTGCACTGCCAACAATACAAATATAAAAGTAACTTTGGAAAGCACATAGAGGCTCTAGCATTATGCGCTAGTAATAGTAATAGTAATAATAATAATAATAATAATAATAATAAAAATAATAAAAATAATAAAAATAATAAAAATAATAATAATAATAATAATAATAATAATAATTAATAAATATAAAAGTATACAGTACAATGGACCTTTGGCGAAAATCACAAGTTTTGTTAAACTAAAATCATGTTATATAAGATTTAACACGAAATGGAGCCATTTCGACGACGATCGGACTACGCCTGAAGAGGGTCCAGACGGACCGAAAATTTGCGTCATATACAGTAAGTGTTGAATGTGTATATATATATATATATATATATATATATATATATATACCTATATGCTGATATATGTTTTTACACTGCTGTAAGTACTCCATACTTAGGGTCGAAATGGCTCCATTTCGTGTTAAATCTTTTATTACATATCAATGGCGGTATATTAAATCCCTGTATTGTTATCAATCAATCAATCAATATTCAATCAAAGGGTGTAAAATAAAACTGTGGCTATGCACCAAATGATTTTCACAAGTTTTAATGTATTGTTTATGTTGTAGGTGCTCCCGTTCATCTCTCTTTTGAATATTTAATATTTTACATGTTTTACTGTATATATGTTTTATCGAGGGCCCTAATGATCAGTTCCTGCAGGAACTGGATAGGTCACATTCTCTAAAAATGGTAATAAATAAATAAATATCTTGAGAAACTGTATTATCTATTTGGTTACTCAAAGGTGAGGCTAACATACACATTTGATATATGCTTACATGAATGTTATATTGCATATTTATATATCTATCTAAGTGTCTTCAGAAACCAAACGGTCAACTGATTAATCTCACATAAGATAGTATACATACTACAAGAATTGAAATGAACGCCATCTTGTTGGGATTCAATATTCGACATTATGTAATCATCAGGAATGCAAGTGTCTTCAGGGTAAATATAATGGTAATAATAATACATATGAAACATATATATTAGGGCCTAGGTTTAATAATAAAGTGTGCTATAAATTAACAATGTAGTACTAAAGACTTATTAATATAAAGTTGGTCTCTTTTTTTTAAATGTATTTTTCAAGTTTTACTTAAGTTAAACTAATGAAAAAAAAAGTTTGTATGAAACAAACTAATGTTCAAGTTCAGGCTTTGTATGAGTTGAACTTGAAGAACCCAACTCTACTCAAAATAACGCTTCCAGTTGTATTCTATGATTCAAATTCAAATTCAAATTTATTTCAGGTTAAAATTACAATCAAAATTACAATAAAAAAAGACAATAAAAACAGAAACAAAAACAAAGAGTGCTGCCAACCCAGGATAACCAAAAGTACACAAAAGTGCCACTATCATGTGGCTCTCCAAGGCAGCACTCAAAACACAGAAAACAAAACAAAAGATATAATAGATGTCATTTCGAAAAATATAACATTAAAAGAATGTAATATAAAATAATATTGCAAGAGATCTCATGATCATGATAAAAAGCAACGGATTGTGTACTTACAAATATTTAGTTGAAGAAGGTACCATAACTGCCATAGAAAAATCCCACAGTACATATTGACAGGTGACTGACAGACCAACACATATACATCCTGTTGGGCAGGTGAGATCTGTAGACAAAGTCAATTAGTATTTTGTGAAAACATGTCAAAATCAAATACAACAGCATTACACCTGTCTCTTATACACATCTATACAGAGTAGTGGTTATTCATGAGTATGGTAAATAACTCATGACATCATACCACTGTTCCTTTATATTATAGGCTATGATAGAATTCGATAAAATGTATAGACAAAAAAACGTCAACATATAAAGAAAACGCCCACAATAATAATGCATAGCCACAAGGTATATAATTAAACTTGGGAGTGTATCCTACTATGGGGGAGATGCACGTTCCCCACTCTTCTTTCTTATTGAGGCTAGGATTATGTATTTTAATTCTCTCAGCCTCCGTCACTTGTCGAATCATCGGGTTTCCTGCATGTTTACTAAGGATTTTGACCGTTAACTCCTTCATTTCTCCTCCGTGCTCCTCTTTTATGTGCTGATAAAACACCGAAGTTTTCTCTTTGATTACATACTTATTATAGTGTTCATTTACCCTTTCTCCTATGCTTCTAGATGTTTCTCCTATGTATGTCCCTGCTTCATTTCCACTGCATTCTCTGCATCTTATTTCGTAACCACTTCTCGTTCCTTACAATTTACTTTCATACCAGTTTTACATATCATACACGATTTATCTTTACATAGTTTGGCCTTGAAGGGGTTCGAACGCTTAAGTTCCTTTCGAATGCTAGTGCCTGCTCTCTCGATGACTTTAACTTTTAGGTCGCATGTTTTAAGTATTATATTCACTTTTTTCGCAAGGTCGCTCCCAGAGGTCGCATCGATGAACATCACGGCTTTACTTCCTCCTTTTTCGAACCATGTTTCATGTTTCATTCTCTTATTAATTCCTTCATTCATTTTCCATTTTTTCGATCTATAAAGGGTGGGAGACTGTCTCTTATACACATCTAGATGTGTATAAGAGACAGGCTCGGAAGTGGAACTCTCAGATGGTAAAAATGCTTTTCAAAGAAATGATTTTCCTCCACAAAATTATTGACTTCCTCTCGACGTGAGCTATGCAAAAGGTCCAATGATGGACCTAAGGCCTAGTCTATTCTGGGAGTCGCAAAGCAAATTATGATGGCTCCTCCAGATTCCCTTAAATGGTAGTCATTGAGACTTCAAATTTGAATATTTTATCTCATTTTATTATCATTTTTAAAAATGTTGACAAATGTAAGGGGCCCTGGCTGGATTAATAAGATATATGTCCAACAGTTGATGTCAGAGACACATTATACTCTTATGTATCAATAAATACCTAGGGTGCTATAGGGCGAGGACCCTATGGTTATGAGCACCGAAGGGCCCCTAGGGTCGGTTAAAGTGTTATGCCACTGAGCATGGATAACTTTTCTAGCTGCACCACTGAGCAAGGATAGCTGTTCTAGCTGGGTACTACAGTCCATAACAACTGCGACAAAACTCTGCCTTTTGGCCATTTTTACATCCCGAATTATAAAATGGTTGGAAAAAAAAAAATCGGCATCGGGGATATAGCGTTGTGTTCGTCGTCAATCAATTGAAAATTCAAAATTAGTGAGTGGTAAAATAATCGAGCACTCCTTCCACCCACTGCTGGATCCTCTACTGAACTTATGGGTACACATCTTTTTTTTTTTCCCTCTCTCCTCCCTTTACCTCTTCTTAATTCTTTTCTCCCTCTTTTATTATTTTTCGGCGGGACAGACAGGGGGGGGGGGCACAGATTTTACCCTGGTTGACATATCTAGGCTATGTGTATGTACCTGTACTTGTTTATAAAAAGCTGCTGACAAATGTGTTAATCAGTTTCTTATCCAGACATTTTATTGGTAAGATCAGTTAAATGAGTAAGAAGAGTTAAATGACAGTTATAGTTATAACACGTTTTCATATAATTTATGCTTAACAAAAAAAATACAATGACATATATAAAGCAATGAATGTTACAATGTTTCCTGTTTAGCATTTGCTGCAATTTCAATTAATCAAATCCGTGTCAGCTCCAACCTCACCGAGCAATCAGAAGAGGGCCAGGAATACAGGCAAGAAATTGTGTTTTATTTATTTTATTTCTTCCACTGGTATCAACAGATACAATCAATGCTTGAGTCTATCCCAGAGGTTCTCTTAACAACCAATCAATTAGTCAATCTATCAATCAACTTATGAAATCACATAATGCCAAAAAAGGTTAAAAAAACAACAAATACCTCATATAAAAAAAAAGACGTTTGTAATAATATGCTAAAAACTAAGTTAAACTAGTAGCTTTCAATTGTATTTCTAGCCAATTAAAAGATGTACAAATTCATAAATATTGAATTCCTTTCATAGTCACTTAAATTGGCTGGTAATAAACTGAATGATTTTTGTAGCAAAAAGTTTTTATATTCACAGCAACCTTTTTTGGTATTCGGTGTAAATTGATCTGTTTCATTAGAAAATGAGGCCAAATATTCCCAGAAAATTAATTATTAGTTTCACGTCCAGAATTTGAATATTATTTTTTGGTTATTACTAGTGGTAAACAGATTGGTAAATAATAACAATTCAATCTTTCTGATTATTTTTATTTTCCATGGAAAATGATTGTTTATTTTTTTTTAATAGCAAATAGTGATTTTTTTCATGAGGGTGGGGATGTGAAACCTTAATTTTATTTGCCCTAACTCATTTGATATTTTTAATTGATATTCAATTTTTTATAATTGAACTTCTGAGGTTTTATAAAAGACAGTGCTATCTTTAAGCACTGTCACTGGAATTTAACCCAGGACCCTGGAATTAGTAGGTAAGCATCTGAAACACAAAGTTGTTCTACTCCATAATATGCATCCTTAAAACTGTGGTAGCATAGTAATTGGTGAATGGAATTTAAAGTCGGTTGGAAATAGATCTTTGGCTCGGGGGTACATGAGGCGATATGATTGTCGTATAGTCACGTCCGCTACTCCGGCTATCTCACCAATTTCTGGAAATAAATATTAAGACAGCAACTTGTTACAAAAATATATATAAAATTTAAGTTTTGAATAAAATATAGGGAGCAGTTAATTGACTAAGTATTACCATTGGAACTATAACAAAAAGTTATTATATTATACACAAGCTTTTGATAAAGACTGTTTCATTTTTTTCAAGTAGGCCAATATACAGTATAATCAATGTATGCTGCTATTGCTTATCATCATTACTATCATCAGCTTGCTCCAAAATTTAGTAAAAAATATATGTACAAGCCACCATGTATCAAGAACTTAATCTAGGAAGAATGAGGTCAGAAACAACAATGTTTATGTGGTTGATCTGAAATGCATCCGGAAAAATATTTGTGAATTTAACGATATCTGTGAATGTTGTCACACACTCAGGTAGGTTGGTTATTATATTAATAAATTAACAATCTTTTCTATAGGACAGACATTAAATATTGCCACAATTCAGTAGAAAAGATTTAATAAAGTTTAATGATGATTAATGTGACAAAAAAATGCCCATATATAGTCATGATATGCCTATATATGGTCATGATGTGATGTCATTATGGCCATATTTAAGCATTTCACATACATTTGTCAAATAAAATTTGGTAGTCTAAATAGGGCTTTAGAATTCGGATTTCTTAAATAAAAATGCATATTTATAGAACATATCTTAATTTAACTCCTAAATTTACAATTTTGCTTGTCTTACTAACGTAAATACCCAATTGCAGCAATCATACATTCATGAAAAGCCATAATAATTCTTTACCTTTTTGTGATTTCTTTTCTTCTGAGCATTGTGATGCCATGTAAATTGCTGCGGCTGCCACAGATATAGGACTGCGTCTATATATTTTTTTAAACAATTATAATGATTAACAAATGGACTACAATTTAGTAAGTACAAATAAACAGCTTGTGATCACTAAAACTAACTTGTGACAAAACACCATGAATATTTATGGGTAATTCATTTCATTAAAAATAATAGTTTTTATTATTTTCGATTTTAACACATCTTTCCCCGGTTACACTGGAAAAAAGGAAACTAATAAAAAATTATGTTTCATATTAATTAACATTTTTATTTCCTTGCTTATTTTTTCTTGTTGTAAATTGTGTTTTTAGTGAAATGTTTTATATAATTCATTAGGTTTATTGCAGTAGTAAATTTGGATGTTACCGACAATCCACACATAAGAGGAACATGATTGGAGAAAATCTAGTATTTGCATGTTGCGCGTAAAAGATGACCCCCTCTTTTTCAATCGTAATTTGCTAATCTAAGCCTTGTCTTAGACACAAGTATATACGGTATTGCACATGTTAAAACATCAAAATATTTAGTAATATTATTATTTTGTTATAAGTCACATCGGTCACTACGTACCCAGCTACGAGGTCAAGATCCATGGCTTTCTTTGCAATCTGTGTCGCTGCTTTCTGCACTGATGACGGCAAAGACAAATTTGAACAGAACCGAGACTGGAAAAAAAAAATATTATACAAAAATTGTTCTTTTTATCTGTTTTTCACTCTAGTGGCCTTTCTAAGGCTGTTTCTCCATCTCTGCGACAAGCCCCTGCTGACCCCCAAAAGACCCCCTCCCTGCCCACCCCCCAATATGTCCTGGACCTATGGCTCACATAGGAAACTCCTTTAAGGAATCCTGATTTTAGGTCTGACTGAACACAATTTCTTACCATAAAATCTCCAGTAGTTATGATATCAACGTTGGTCTCTAAAGCCCGCAATATCAACTTGAAGCACCTTCCAATTTCCTTCTTGCTTACCTTGGATATTGCACAGATTTCTACAAGATTTATGAATGATTTCACATGATGTGTGTGTCATTACACAAAAGGACAATCAAGTTTGCCATTACACTAAAGCAACATACATTTTATATTGGTAAGATCTGATTTTTAAAAAAACAAACAAATTTATAACAAATTTAATATAAAAAAAAACCAAAAAAAAAAAACAATATATACAGTGTCGGATCCAGGAATTCAAAATAGGGAGGGCCCAGTGTGGGACGTTCAGAGACGACGAGTCTACACCGCCTCGGCCCCACCATGGTTGGGGGCGATGCAAGAACATTTATGATTTTAGTACCTCCAGATGACCTGAAATGGCATCCCAATTTTTCTTTTTCTCTATTTTTAAAAATTATTTTTGAAATATTTAGGGGAGGGGACAGGGGCCCCCATTGAATCTGCCACTGATTTATACCCTCAGAAACATTAACAGCACACCTTTTGATATGCAAAGTTGCAATAGTGCCCTGTTTTTTGGATAAGGTTTTTAAGCTGTTGGTACCCCTGTGCAATATGGGCCATGTGCAGAGTCGAAGGATGTAGTATACTCTTCAGAAAAGAGTACCGATGTACTTCCAAATTCACCACCAGAAGGACCCCACTAGAAATAAGTTGTGACTTTTGTGGGTTATCCTTGGTGCACCTCCCACCGAAAAAATCCAATTATATCCTACCTTTAAAAGTTCTCGGCACCGACTCTTGTCTACAAGCAATATACAAACAAGCTGCTCCAATCGCATCATTACTTCGACCTTTTAAAGTTCCTTGATCATGAACTTGTTTAAATAATGTATGTGTACGATCCTGAAACAAAAAGTAATTTGCTAATGATTACAGAACATTTGAGGCATGTTGTGGCAAAATGGCTAAGTTGTAGCGACAATTGAAATTCAAGTTATTGGTATTTTCAGATACATGAGTATGTGATCTTTAAAATGAGGGGTCATTCATTGAAATTGCACATTTCAAACATAAGTTATTGGAAAGTGAAAGTACAGTACACTTTAGAATCAAGATAAACACGATTTTGAGTAATTGCCTTTCGAAGTTATTTGTGCATACATTGTTTAATAGAATGAACTATCAAAATAACATTAAATAAATAATTTGTTGACCACTTCCAGAACTAATACTTTGGTACACGATTAATAAGACATTAAACTGTTGATCTATAGTGAAAAACAAATTTGGATTTTTAGGCAATTTTTTGAGCTCCCATATTTTATAGCTCATTTACTCAATACTGGCCTGTGTGACAACTTAACCATTTCGCCACGACATACCTCATTTATGTTATTTTATATATATATATATATATGTATATGTATATGTATATGTATATGTATGTATATGTATATATATGTATAGCGGCGGTAGAGACTTACACACCAATCTTGGAAAATTTAGAACTGTTTAAGAAATTAAGTACGACTTACTACAATATTCTTTGGTAAGTTAATTCGATCAGCCATGTTAGTTATTTCTCTGAATGCAGTCAAAAGCGCTCGATCTGAACTGTTCATCTGTAAAGCAGAAAATAAATAGAATTGATTTAAACAGATGTTAAATAATGCCAGTGCTAACTGTTTGTTTAGTTTGTAAATATGGTATTCATTAATGAACTTATATGGCTGATACTGATATTACCATAAAAAAAAACACTTACATTTCGTTTTTGTGAATATTTAACCCCCCCGGAATCATCGAAGCCTGCAGATCCTGTTGGGGCGCCGATTACTGTAGACAGATCACTGCCACTCAACAAGGGGTTCTCCGCAGCACCAACACGTGAGGGATCACTGACAGATTTCTCATTGTTGAAGGTCCGCCACTCGGATCCAACGTCTATAACCCTAAACGGATATAATTTATATGTTTCCACTGCTCGTTTAATTGACTAATAAATGTCTTATCATAAATGCCATTACAATGGTGATAGTAACGCTATTTAAATGTGATGGGTTGGATTGTATGGAATTATACAAGCACAAATGGATACGATTTAATAATTTAATATCAAAGCAATTGTTGTATTGCCCAGAGAAACATTCATAGATCAGAATCAGTCGGTCAGGAATATTATTACTAACTCTTATGCTAGGACTCCGTCCATGGATTTTTTAGGTTTTGAGTCTTTTTAAGCCTTACACCACAATTCAATCTGTATTATACTGTAAAGTGTAAGCATTGATAATAAATCTGCAAAAACAGGATAAGCAAAGATCCCTCAGTAACACCACTGGGTGTTACAAAAATGCCTACCTGTCTGCTACAACAAGACCACAGTCTGGGCATATCAAGTCACCTGCATGGTAGTCTTCTATCAGATTTGCATCCGGATGATGAGGACATATCACCATCGGCTTGGCCCTGATTGTGAAGAAAATTTTTAAAAAACCAATATTTTTAGCTGAAGAATTGGAATCATTTTAATATAATTAATAATTTTAATATTTGCCAAATATCATAAAAGGTAAATATATATATTTCACAAAAATAGAAATGTTTCTTTTAAAAGGCAGGCATTGCTTACCGACTTGAGGCTGATGCTTGCATTATTTGAATACTGGTATCAGCAATGAACAAATGAATTTGACTTGAGCGTAGGCTAACTGGAATAAACACATAAATACTAAATATTAACTTTGTTTCAGGTTACAAAAAAAGAAGTGAATACTGTAGGCTACTTATTCCTACACACATTCCAATACCAAGTCTGATGGAACCCAAGAGAACACAACTGCCAAATATCAATTTTGTTTATCATTAAGTATCATATAATCATAATATAGAAATTGCACCTTGCTTTTACCATACAAGGCACAATAAAAATAAATCATTAGGAGGCTTGATGCATGCTACATTTTATAGAAATAATTCTCTCTAGATCAGGGTCAGAGAGGTGTGGGGGAACCATGGACCCTTTCAGAGAAGAACCATAATAACCTTTCGTTACACAACATTGCTTTGAATGAAAAAGCATTTTCACAGTCCGATGAGAATGCTTGTTTTTAGTCTTTGTACATATTGTGTTTTCGAAAGGTTCACTGATTAATCTTACTTTAGGTAAGAAAGTATAATAATTAATATACGTAGGCCTACTCCATCCAAGAAATGAAATGTACGCCATCGTGTTGGGATTTAAATATTTCGACATATTAAATGTTGAAATATTGAATCCAAACACGATAAACAGCATGCATTTCAATAATTGCATGCAATATGTATTATACTTTCTGATTGTATTTTCCTAGAGGTGCTACACTGTACTCTCTAGCTTGTACTACCTAGGCCTACCTACACCTGTCCTAGGCTCCTCGCTAGGAAGATAGGCCTAGGTAAGGTAGTACACATAACAAGACTTAGGGCCTAGGCTGCCTAGACCTAGTTAGATATGTAGCAGTGAGTTGTTCTCTATCTAGAGTCTAGGTAGGCACAGTTAGTAAGTAGTAGGCCTAGTTCAGTTAGGCCTACTAATAGTTAGGCTACAGATGGATGCTATTGTTGCAGTGTAAATCGCGAACACAAAAACCAACAAAAAACTACCAGCCTAAAATTGATTACTTCAGCAAGAAAAACAGTCTTCCTCACGTAACAAGTTCAGTGCTTTGTTTTTTCCTCCCCTCATGGTATTTTCCCTTTATAATGAATGTCGCCCTCTACATACTTTTAATATTCTGAGGGGAAGCAGGTCAATAGACCTTTCCGGGCTGTCAATCAAACTTCCAAGTAACCAATTAGAACAAGGCATATACGCGCTGTTTACAAACACGTTTTCCACACAAACACACACGAGTTGATAGAGGTTTTGCTGCAGTGACATCTCGCTGCTGGCGACTCGGTGCTGGAGCCGACTCGCTGCTGGCGAATCACCTAGTACGCATGCGCAAATGTATGGAACGCCGATCACGCAAAAATAGTGATTTTAGAATTTGACTCGGTAATGGTACCTAGTACGCATGCGTACATGTATGGAACGCCGAACATGCAAAAG